CTGAGCAAATTGTACTCTGAATAGTAGATGAAGGACATTTTTAATGAATGAAAAGATATCGATGTATATATATATATATGATTAACAAAAGAATCAAAAAGATTTTTGTTTTTATTTATAATGTAAAAATAAACATCATATATATCATATTATATAACAAAAGATAATTTATATAAAATAAAAGTTATTTTAGTTTTTTTTTTCGATTTGTTTTTTTCACTGAAAAAAGATATTCTTTTAATTCTTCAATATTCGTACATGCTGATAATTTATTGAGAAATTGTCGAATACCAATAGGATTTAGAATTTCATTTATATCAATTTCACTACATAGTTGTATAAATAAAATATTGGATGTTAAACAATGTAATTGATCATATGTTAATTGAAAATTTGGTGGTTGATAAAGATTATTCGATAACGCGATTATTATTTCTTTAGTTGGAAATTGTTTTAAAATAAATAATTGAACATTTGTCTGAAAAAGCAAAGAAATAAAAATTTCAAAGAATAAAATTTTAGAAATAATAATACTTGTTGATTATTGAATAATTCATTTATCTGACGATATTGTACTAATTTTCGCAATCGATTTTGTAATGTATAACATGATCGACCAGGAAAAAATGGTTGAATTTGAGACCAACGAGCTAAAAGAGATTTCATATAAATCTTTAAAATTATATGTTTATCTATAGCTACGGTAACTATCATAAAAACAGGCACATATGTATCATTATAACGTCAGTTTAAGACTAAGTAGATCAACTGCCAATGAACGTAACTTGTGAATAATGATAAAAAAACTGAACTGATTCTGATTAAATACAGATGATTTTATCGATTTCCTTGACTTTAAATGTTTCGGAACCAGATATTTCCTCCGTGAATATTTAGATAATTTAAGTAAAAATCGACTCCTTTCCCTGAAATATTGGCTATATTATATGACTAATCAAAAGAGTGACTATATTGTATGTACGACTATCAAAATTATAGACTACTGCTTTTCTAATGTTAACGGATAGATCCTATATTGTATTCATTTGACAAGAAATGATTAATTTATTGTTATTTTCACTAGCATTGAAGAATATTAGTACTCATATTTTACAATAAATAAATTACCATTTTGCAGTTGATGTTGTTCAATTAATAGTTGATCATCACTAGGTTCAAATTCTGTTTTTCTTCTTTCTCTTGTTAAATGAATATAACGATTATAACATTTCGTTTGTGAACGACCATCTACATCACAAGCAACTAAATTCCAATTAATCGTACCCCGATTTGATTGCTTTAATACACTTTGTAAAAGAACCTATATTAAACAAAATCAATTAATTATTCAAATTTAATAATAAAAAATAAGCAAAAAAAAATAAAAAGATTATTTTGCATCGAATTAATTTGTACTTCGTCTTCGTCTACTTGCCATTGGCCTCGTCGAACATTTGGATCAATTTTACGCCATTCACGAAGTATTGTTGAAAGACTATAGCCAAGTTTATACGCAACTTTATTAAAATAAAATAAAATTGAATTTTTCGAAAATTGTATTTCTATTACTTTTATTTAATGGAATATAATTATCATGACGATCTTCTTCAATAACTTGTTTCAATTGATTTATTTGATCATTTGAAAATTTTCTTAATAAAATAAAGTTTAATTTATACAAGCGAAGAAGAAAGCATACAAACAACTTACATTTTATCTAAACGAGTGTTTTCTATAAACATATAACGACTTGCACACATCATTGGTGAACGTTGAGACTATAATATTAAAAAATATTTCTCTTGAAAAAATGATCATAGCAAAATAAGACTTACAAAATGTGAAGCAATTAATGCCCATTGATCAGCATATGCACCATGAATCTGAACTAAATTATTGAGTAATTCATCTTCCTCTACAGACCAATTCTGATTATCATTAATTACAGGTAAACAAAGTTGTTGCCATGCATGTCGACAACATTTTTCTGTATATTGATTATTCATCTAATAAAGTTGAAATTTATTATGAAACAGAAAAAATGTATTTTATTACTAATATTTCCGAAATAGTTGTCCAATCTATATGATTATTTTCATTATCTCGTTGAATTAATTCTCGATCGGATAGAATTCTATAAATAGAAATAAAATGACAATGATTTTTCTATAAAATAAATTACTGTAGATCATTAAGTTTCTTTTTAACTATTTCAAGTTCTTGTTGAACAATATCTGCATTACGTGTTGATGTTTGTAAAATTTCAATTCTAAAATAAATAAATTTAAAACCTATTTAAATAAGAATCTGTTTCAAACCTTCGAGTTAATTCATGTTCTTGATTTTGACGAATATTTTGTGCAACACTTTGAATTAGTTTTTCAATTGTTTCATTTGAACCTTAATTTAATATGGAAAATTTTTTTATTTTAAAAAAAATATAAACTCACTTAAACGTGCTTTTTCTTCTCGTTGCATTATTCGACGAATATTTTGTATAGACTCATTATTTGTCTAAAGAAATAAAGGTTTTCACTTATATTTCAGAAAAATTTATTTACCGGCAAATGAACTGTAGAAAACTCGAACATTTGTATTGGAAGAATTTCATTCGTTGATTGACTAGATTTATGCGCAGTACCCTTAGAAGAAGAAAAAAAATAAGAATTTCATTTCTTTTTTGTTGTTGTTGTTGTTATAATTACAATTGTTTGACAATGTTTAGATAATTGAAATAGATTACGTTGATAACATAAATTAAGTGCTGTACCAAATGTAAGTAAAGATGAATGATCGATACGAGGAGAAGGATTGGTATGAAAACTTTCTATTAAATGATAACAATCTGATATATCATCAATTTGTTCATTTTTGATTTTTTGATTATTGAAAGGCGTGGAAATTGTTTGTGGATATGCTAGAATTTACAAAACAAGTTCTATTTAAATAAAGAAAGTTTTTTTTTGAGAATAAATATATGCTGAGTGCTTCAAAAGCTTCGCGACATTTTTTTATTATATCTCGATTTTAGTAGATGGTCAAACCTTAAATTCATGCACCATGAAAAGCTCTCTACAAGCTGGGGCATAGTACTATCTCATAGGTTGTTCATAATAACTAGGAAATAAGTATGATGGTTTCTAGAATTTATGGGTCCTAGCCCTTTAAGTAACAATGGGGCTTATAAGCCTCACTTTTTTTAAAATTTGATAAATTCCGAATAACTCATGAATGCAAAGTGACAATGAAGTGTGGTTTTCACTACGACATAGAAGAGACTTTAAAGCACATATTTATGTTAAATTAAAAACCCTACTGAGGTTACCGAGTCAGTATTTGACTCTCATCCGTGCACATCCGAGGAAGTGACTAAAAGTTAAAAATGACTTGAAATAGTTTTTTAAAGTACCGATAGTACCCCTTATACGAAATATCAAGTTTTAAAGAGATTTCGTCCATAGATTGAATCATGGGTCTCAAAGCGTTAAATATACTGGCAATACAACAAGGAATATAACACTTTAGAACTAAATGCATCTTTGCGATTCTAATTCAATAGAAACATAGCATTGACTAACGTCCAGTCATTATGGACATGATCTATTAGAAGATTAAAACAGAGTAGAAAATACTAATTTGTAATAAATCAATGCTTGGAAAGAGGAAAATATTTGTATCTATTTTATATTCCCATTCAGACAAGAAAAGAATTTGCCTTGAGATTAATTCCATAGAAAGACTTCTGATCTCTGTCTATTCCATTGTTTACTGTATATTACCAACTATATTTTCATAATAAGCAAACCATTGTGAGATAATACAAAATGAACTTTGACTTGTGCATAGTTCTAATACTTACCAGCATTTAATGCAACTTCAATTTCTACATCATCAACACGAATATTTAACGCTCGTTCAATTTTTTCAATATCACTTTTAATAACATCCGCCATCTGAAAAAAATAGATAAATATCTTTTATCTTTTTTTTTTAATCAGAATTATATTTCGTTTTTTTTAAACTCCCATATATATTTTTGTTATAGTTGTTCATAGAAAGAACAAAAAGAAAATACATAAATAATAACAAAAAAACGAAAATAGAGAGTGGCATTAACATATATCTAGAGACAAAGAGAAAAATCCTAAGTCGAATAAGTATATAAATTTGTGTTACAACACAATATAATAGAATGAGAAATAAAAAACAACAACAACAACAAAATTCAATGTTTTTCAAAAATTCTCTATCACATAATTTTTCTATATAAAAATTCGCTTTGTTCACGAATAGAGAAATATATCTACAAACGTTTTCTTTCTTTCTTTCTTTTTTTCCTATATACATTCTCTCAAAATTTCGTTTGAATGATTAATATTAATTCCATTTTCATGTGGAATATTCTTTGTAGAATGTTGATTAATATCATTAGTTGTACTGTTCAATGAAATCGAATCAATATCCATTATATCATTTACTGATGAAACTATTGGTAATGATATTGTTCCATTTAAATCATCTAACTTATTTCTTATATCAATTTTCGGTGTAGTCCTATTTGATTTTTCTGCGATATGATTAGTTCCATTTGATTCATATAAGTTTTTTAAACGAATATTTTCTTCACTCAAATTCTGAATTTGTCGATGAGAATCAATTAATTGACTACGCATATGTAATAATGTATTTGACATAGCATCCATATTTGTATCCATATTTAACATAATTTCTTCATAATCTAAAAGAAAATTTTTTTTAATAAAATAATTGAACTTTTTTATTTTTCGTCATACCTTTTTGTGAATTTTTCATATTAGATAAAAGTCTTTTTTGTAAAGCCACTTCACCTTCAAGTTTAGCTACGTTATCCGATGAAATCAGTTTACCTAATTGTTCATTTTCATCAAGTAATTTTTTACATCGAGCCATAAGCATTTTACCAATTTTACTAAATAAATCAACGAAATAGAAATTCATTCTATTGAAAATCAGTACAGAGCAGTCAACTACAAAACTGAATCAAATAGCTCACTATATGCGAATAATTTGCTTACTATCCTGATCCATTTCTTCTTATTATAGAAGAATATACAGTTCAAAAACTAAATAATAGAAAATTTTTACTTATTCACTAATAACATAGCGTAAGTCAGATAACTTGTGAATTTTGATTTTTATTATTACAAAGAATGGGATCGAATTTTTTTATTTTACCTATCGGATGTAAATTGAAATGCTTGTAATTCATTTTGTGCTTCATTACGTGCTTTACGACATTGATCAATTTCATCACGCATTTGATCAAAAATAAAATTTATTGATGGATCTAGATATGTTTGTCTTAAACGAGATAATGATGGTATTTGCATCAAATGACGAATTTGTTCCTTGAAAAATAATTAATCAAATAAAAATTTCGCTTTTAATTTTACTTACAAATGATTGTTGTTGTGTTGTTTTAGTTAAAAAACCATAATTAAGCATAGATTTTAATTTTTTACATTCAGCTTCTTTTTCACGTACACGTTCATTTGAATCAATTGATTGTTCGAATTGATTCAAGCGTGATTCTAAATAATCAATATAGATTTCTTGTTCTTTCCAACGTTCTAGAAAACGTGATCGTGATGCTTTATCGATCCAATCGTCGCTTTCAATTCGAACACGTTTTGGTGGATTTATTGATGAAATCGTATTTGAATGAACTAGTTTATTAGTTATGTCCATTAGATAAAAACGACAAACATCGATAATTAAAAAATAGACACAATGAAATAATAATGATACATAAATGTTGAAGAAAACGATACACAGTATCAATTAGAAGTTAATAAATTAAAGCAAATCCACTCTACGAAGAACATCAGGATTGATCTAGAAAGAGATATGTATCTTTTTTTTTTGCTCCTTCTTTTTTTTGTTATTCTCTACTTTTTTTTGCGCAGCATTACCAATACACACGTTAGAATTTAGACAAATGAAAATTCTTCTGTGAATGAATAATTTTAAAGTTATTCTATGATCGATTAGATATTTTGTTTCAATAAATAATTGTATTTTTTTTTAAATTAATATAGTTTTTGAAATAAAACAGATGTCGCTAGTAAGCAATACATTAATTGGCAAGGCACATTGAAGAATTTGTTAGTGTCAAGTTTATTTAGTCAGAAGAAAATATACGAACATAAGTATCGACTAGATGGATTTTATGCAATCAATAGAGCTAATGAAATCATGAAGTTAACTGTTTATCTTGCCATTACAACGCTCAAGATGATTCTTTCGAACTACGTTTATATTATTCATTGATAATTAAATTCGCTTTAGGATAAGTGTGACTTTGCTTAAGTTCTAAGGCTTTATCATTAGAATAACTAGGTTTGCACTTCTGTTTTATCCGTCTGAATATTTATATATCTGTTCGTTTAAACTTCAATGTTATGAAACAAATTATTTGCATGTGTAGTTCTATAGACTAAATTTATATTAAACTAGATGATACTTCATGTTTAATAGTACTCAGTTTAAATCTTATTTTTCGTGATTAAGGAATAGGTAGTATATTTTCACATGATATGTATATTTAGAGTAATAGGATAAATCTCTTAATAAATAAGAGATTCTTGATAAAGTGTGTAATATAAAACTCGCTGTTAAAGTGGAAATATAAAATAAGGGTTATTGAGTAGTTTCGTTCAGCAAAAAAAGAAATTTGAGAACCAATTGAAAAACATATCAATATTAAATAACAATATTTTAATCTAAGAACGCATATGACGATTGAACTTCTCCATTACAAATAGTAATTAAAAATGAGATAAATAGAGTTCTTCAATACACACAACATTACCAATACATTTTGATGTATCAATTCAAAAGAAAATATAAAAACTACATTAAAGGGAAAAAAATGATACTTTATAGAACTATTTTCTTTCAAATAGGTACGGAAGCATTTTAAGTTTTATATTAAGTGCAAAATTTTGTTTCATTTTTTCTAGTATCGCATTCTGGGTAATACATAAGCGGACAAAAAAAAACCTAAATAAAAATATCTGTTATGGAATAAAGTTAATTATTTAATCTTATATTTGTCCTTGATATACCTTTTTAGCTTCTTTTTCACGTGTCAAAGTTGCTACTATTCGGATTATTTTGAAACGTGCTTGAAGACATTCAAATTTTATTATAGGATTAGAAATAAGTAATATGCGTAACTCACAGAATGATGCAAATTAGTTTTGCTGAGTACGTAAAAATGTTCTTCCAGGGAAGTCAGTCACCCTATTATTTCAAATAGTACAAGTAACACATTTTATGCTAAATTAAAGTGCGACAGCAACAATAGACTTTATACTTATAAAAGAGAAAGGGTTATGAGAACTTTTCGAAATCAAAAATGATATTTAAAAAACTTTAAAAATAGAAATACACTTCAGACGTTTCCACAATTATAAAAACAAACAAGAAATTTCTTTTATATTAACCCTTTAACGGGTGACTTTTGAATGACCAATTTTTTTCGCATAGAATTATAGCTTTGATGCAGATTATTAGGGTATGGGTGTAGATGGATGCGGTTGTGATTGTGACGCTGGGTTTTGCCATTGTATCTACACCCACACCCTCAAGATGGTGGTAGATGTATGTCCCACCGCCCGTTGAAGGGTTCATATTCATACTAAAAAGAATGTTGATTAAATTCAACATTAAAAAGTTATCATAACTTTTCTTATCTAATAAATATAAAACTCATAATATTGTACATCCTGTATTAATAACAAAAGTTGTTATGTTTTTTAATAGCGAATACTTTATTGTAATTACTTTCTAAAAAAAGTATATTTTTCTAATTAGAAAAGAAAAAATCAAATTCATGTTTTTTCTTTATCTTAAACATTTATTATACAAATAAAAAAAAAGACATTTCTTTAACGGACTAGATTATAGGTTTTTAGTTCTGAAAAGCATTCAGTAAAAAATTTTGGATTCTGATTAATAGCTAACATTTGTGAACTTAATTGTCCCATTATTAAAACAACACGTTGCCAAAAAACATCACGTGTTTCATTATTTGTTACAAATGGTTTCAATGGATATGTTATTTCATTACCCATATAACTAAATGATAAATACAGGCAAGTTAATACAATTGAATGTAATTCTGAAACACTTTTAATTGTTGTCGATGGTACAACATATGTTAATGTATCACGTACAATTAAATAGAAGAAAACAATATTAGCTGGATTAACAAATACATGTTCTTGCCAACCTTGTAATATAAGATGACGATCAGCACTTTTTATCCATATAATACAATCAATTGGATCAAGTCTCGGTAATAAATGTGAACATGATGAACATAAATATTCACTTAAACAACGTAATAATTCACTTGTTGATGCTTGAATTATTGTTTTTCGTGTTGTTGTTGTTGTTGACGTTGTTGTTGTTTTTTCTATTGAACGAACATGTTTTGTACTTGATGTTAATCTATTATTATTAGTATCCGATTTATTACCATTCGATGATAATTGAATACGATAATGTTGATAAAATTGAGATTGTGATTGAGATTTTGGTAAATGATATGTTGGTGTAATAAATGTTGTATGACGTTTATTAACTAAATAAGAAGAAAATATGTCATCAAAATTAATATTCTTATTTATTCGTCTATATGCATTTCCAGAGAGATATGCAAAACTATATATTCGTTCAATCCCATTTAAGGTTAGCGAGACCGAGACGTCCTTTATATTATGAAATGCAAGTATTACATATTGATTTGTTATTAAACTTTGACATATATGATAAATCAAAAAATACTGATAGTTCGTCTGACATCTTTTTATCCGGGTTAAATTTGCATTTGAACTTCAATTAAACAAATGGAAAATATAGACTAGATATGATATGAATTCAATTGATGTATATTATCAAAGCTAAATGTTATGCAAAAAAAACTTTCGAGACATTTTGTTGTCCGTAGGGATGGCTTTTATGTTAATTCTTTGAAAATCGATTAAAAAAAAAGATCTCGTTACTAACTAAAGTGAATTCTCTTGAGAAATGAATGTAAAGTATAGACTTTAATAGTTGATTCATTATTCTATTTTGACTCAAAAATGATTATATCTTTATCCAAAAAAACTAACCTGTTGTTGTTGGCGGTGGTGGTTCAAATTTTGATTTTCGTCTACGTTGAATAAGAGTATTTATTGTACTGTTCGTTGGTTCTTGTTGTTGTTGATGATGTTGATGTTGTTCTTCTTCTACTGGTTTAATTAAATTATCTTTATTAGTTATATCATTTAATGGTTGTTTTATTGAAAAAAGACTAAATGATTTTTTAACATTATTTTGTTGTTGTTGTTGATTTGTTTTAATTAATTTTTTATTTGTAATTTTTCCTGTATGACATTTCGTTAAGTCATGAAAATTTTGTGTTGAATATGACTGATGATTATTGTCATCAATTGTTGTTCCAGAACGTTTATTTTTGTTATGTGTATTATGATGACGTAAAGAAATTTTTTTAATATTAAATGTATCATTAATTATTTGTAATTGTTTTTTCCATGATGATCGATTCGGTGTTAATGTTAAATGATTAGAAAATCCATCATGATAGGATCTTGATTTACGTGGTGAAACGTTACCCATAAGAAATGACTAGATCTAGAAGAGAAAATCATTTTTTTGATATGAATACTGATAGAAAAAAAGAAAGAATATATCCGCCAACTATTCTTCGGCTAATTTCATATCAAACAGATAAGTAGAATGTCTGATGTCCATTCAATTCACCTACCATTTATTCTGTCTGTCGGGTCGTTTTTTCTGTTAGGCTATGAACATACATACATACATAGACAAATGAGATGAATTATTAAAAGACAAAGAAATATTCTATAGAACATACAAGTGCTATTCGCTGGATCAACGTTGTGAGCGCATACACTTACATCTAATAGAAATTAACAGACGAACCATCTTTCTTTTTCTCATACTCTTCATCAGCTCTTTTTTTTTCCTCATTCTTTTTTTTATGTTTTTTAGTACTGTTAGGATGTGACATGCTTGCTCTAGAACGGATGATCCTTAAAAGAAAATATTATCTAGTTCTCTTTTTCTCTTATTGATTACAATATAAAAAGCAAGATTTATAATCATGCAAAAAAGAATTTTTGTTACTACTGTTTTTTTTTCTCACCTACTTACCTGTAACCAATGTATTTTCATTTCTATTATCCTTTTTAACACGCACTGTCATGCTAAGATATAGAAGCATCTTTTAGATGTGAACTAGAATGAATGCATTCTCGTCTCTTTACGATTCATTCTTTGCCCAAAAAAAATTCGGTTGAACGCTCTACGACAGAAATGACGATGATGAATAGAGAGAAAGGAAAAAAAAATGCGAAAGAAGAAAAAGAGCGAGACATACTCACTTATTAGAAGATGTGTAGCTCTTTTATACGCATAGGAAAAAAAAAAGTATGTGTGTGAACTAGTTCTTTCCTTCAATGTATATAGTGCCATGTTTCCCTAGAATTGTCTGTATTCGTACAAAAAGTATAAGAATAAATTAAATACGGTGTGTGTGTGTATACATTGAACTCGGTCAATTTTGGACACAATAGAAATGTCTTTCTATGTATAAGAAAGGAAAAAGAAAAAAACGTCGCCAATACTTGAATATACGGTTCTAGGCAATCGTCATAGACGAATCGGAAATGTCTCGACGCCGATTGAATGAATGGCTTCTATATACTAATTGAATAAATATAAAATTAACTACAATCTCTATATATAGGAGATTGTAAAGATATAGAATTGAGTATGGTTGTCATCTCAGTGAAAATAACGAGATCGACAGTGATTACTAGGGAAATTCATTTTTCTGGTCTGTTTGATTGAATTAATAAAGCATCAATGGAATTGCTGATGGACGACAAAAATAAATACAAAATGACATATATGAGTTTTGAACATCCTCGAGGTACTTTCTGTTCCTTTCTTTTTATAATTATTGTTGTTATTCTTATTATTATTCGAAAATCTTATTTATAAATTTGATATGAGATATTTATAACGTATGTATGTCATGAAATAATCTTGATAATTTATTCTTATATGCATTATCATTCATCCATCAAACAAAATAGATACAATGTCTTTTTAGTTTGTAATTATAGATTCCGATGATTTTTTTAAACATTGTATTCTATCCTACAGATAGTTACATATCAAAGAGAATAGCATACTTATTATGATTCACATACAACAACAAAAAAAGTCGACAGGTGTTAATAACACGATATCAGTAATACATAAACTAATAATAGTTCTTCTACTATTAAAGATATTATTAGAAAATAATAATAAATCGAATCGTTTGATGTTATTAGACAATCCAGAATCACGAATAATATTAATATCCTAGTATTATTAGCCTAAGGCATAGAACTCTCGTCGATGAGTGCAATAATCGTTGATTTTCTATCACAAATAAAACTTATATATTTTTTTTGTAAACAAAATTCGTATTATTGTTATATATATAATATGATAATCATTTATAATTTATCTATAGAATATCGTATAAAAATAGTGATATAGTTTGATTTTTTTTGTCTTTTATTGTTATGATCAAGTTGAATACTATTGATAATTTAATCTTCACAACAAGAAAAAAGTATCATAGTTATAATCTCTCTTTTAGCTTTTAATCTTCTAAAAACTAATAAAAATCAAAACATTTATTTTGGTAAAGGTAATGCTGGAATAATGGTTCCCGTACATTGTCCAAAACCAATTTTGAAACCATTACCTTGATAAAAACCTACGAAAAAACCAAAAGGAAATAATTTTTTCTAAGAAATTAATTATTTTTCTTTTTCTCTACCAGTCATTGTTACTGTATCACCATCTTCAAGAAATTTTCTTGTTAAATTTTCATCTAACACTAATGGTTTACTTCCTCGCCATGTTAATTCAAGCATTGATCCACATGAATCAGGCGTTGGGCCACTAATTGTACCCGTTGCAATTAAATCACCAGCACGTAGATTACATCCTGTGACTGTATGATGAACAAGCATCTGTTTTAAACTCCAATACATATGTTTTAAATTTGATTGACAGATTGTGTATTCTTTCGAAGATTGATTTGCTAAATAAGAAGAGAAATAAATAAAAAAAAAATCAAGAAATTTGTTTTTACGTTTTAATGAGACTTTTAAATCAATATCTATTGCACTTGGTTCTTGTTGAGTTAAATAAGATAATGGTGTTGGATCTTGTGTTGGTCCAGTACATAAAGCATCTTGTAATGCATCCATAGTTACTATCCATGGTGAAATAGTTGTACCAAAATTTTTTGCAGTAAATGGACCTAATGGAACATATTCCCATTTTTGTATATCACGTGCTGACCAATCATTCATAATAACAAGACCAAAAATATATTCATCAGCTTTATCCATTGTAATTGGTTCTCCTTGATGATTACCTTCAGTGCCAATAAAAAATGCCATTTCAAGTTCAATATCAAGTAATTTACAATTTCCAAATGTTGGTGGTTTAGCTTAAATAGAAATAACAATATCTCTCTCTATATATAGAAGAACAATATTTTGAAATAAACAAACTTTCATCAGGACATGTTTGTCCATTAGGTCGACGAATATCTGTTCCGGATACAACAACAGATGAAGCTCGTCCATGATATCCAACAGGTAAATGTAACCAGTTTGGCATAAGTGCATTTTCTTTTCCACGAAACATTGTACCAACATTAGTTGCATGTTCTTTTGAACAATAGAAATCCGTATAATCACCTATAAATAAAAGAAATATTTTAGATTAAATATCAGAATTTGAAACAGTTTTTTTCTATCGATTAGTTAAGCAGCGTGTGATTATTAGTTTCTTTCACCTATTTGTGCAGGCAAATGCATATTAGCGTCTTTTTGTTCGACGAAAGCTCTAGAGATTATTGATTAGATGTAGATATGTTAATGAATGTAAAAAAAGAAGACTATTAGTTATATTAATAACTTACTGTTTTCGTAAATCATTATTATCTTTTAATATTTTACAACTATCGAATAGAAGTTCTTGTAATCGTTGTCGAGTTTCTTTCCATGCTGATTTACCGAGTGACATAAATTTATTAAGTGTTGTCTAAAAATGATAGATAAGATTTTTTTTGCGAAATTATATAATTTTAATATACTTCTTCAAAAACATTTTGTTTATCTTTCATTTGTGCTCCATCAAATAAATGTTTGATGACAGATAAATCTAAAATTTTTGTTCCAATTGCAACACCAATTCTGGGTTTAGTCTAGAGAATCGATATGATTTTTATTTGGGAAATAATATGTAACTTACATTATCTTTTGTTGAAAAAATACCATATGGTAAATTTTGAATGGGAAAATCAGAATCACTATTAACTTCAATGAAAGACATCTAGAAAACGATTGTTCTAATCATAAAAAAATGTTTGAAAAGCAAAAAAAAAGTGTCAAAGAAATATTTTATTGTGCTCGGTTCTTTTTCTTTAAAGCTTTAGCTCGAATACCACCTAAAACATGCATAATAAGTTTATTTGAAATAAATTCTGGTAAAAGTGCAATAATAAATTCCTAAAATTGAAAGAAAAATTTTATAAAGATATCAAGTTTTTTTCTTCTAATTGTTTTACTTGAATTTCATGTGTCCAATAACCTGTTGTAAATGGAACTGTAACACGATTAAGAGAACTAAGAACAAATTGTTCTGGTGTTGGAGCAATTAATGATGCTTTATGGATACCAGATAATTTACTAACAACATAACCAGGACATAAAGATTGAACATAAACACCGCGTGTTACACATTCAGCAGCTAATGATCTGTATTTATATAAGAAAAAAGAAACGATTTTAATAAATAAAATAATGAATGATATTTATATCAAACCGTGAAAAAAGATCAATAAATCCTTTTGTACCAGAATAAAGACTTAATAAAGGTGTTGGTCGACGGCCAGATACACTTGAAACATTAATAATAAGACCTTTATGTTTTTTGATCATATCTAAATTTATAAAAATCAATTATATATATAATGAAGAATAATTAAAAGAAACTAACCTGGTAAAACCATTTGAGTTAAATTAGCAACTGAATCAACATTACATCGAATCATATCAGTTAGAAATTTTTCATTATTTTCAACTTTATCAAATGTTTCAGGATATTCATAAGACATTCCAACATTATTAATGAGAACACCAATATCTAAACCTTGAATTTCTTTACGAATTGTTCCATAAATTGAACTGTCTTCTAAAAGAAACAAATAAAAATTGAATTTACAAGAAGGATGGATTTAGATGACAGTCTGAATAT